ATACATTGGAATTTCTTTTAAAATCTCATTACATAAGATTATATTGACTGACTAAAGTTATATACACATTAGGTCAAATAACTATACAAGCTAAAGCAAGCCACAATAAAAAATAAACACAATCATAAGTAGGTTTTGAAGTATATTTTGTGGCTTTCAGATCCCTTCTTATGCCTCAATTTTTAACCTCATACATTTTTTCTTTTAATCTAAGACCTAGATGGAAGAAAGAAATAAAATGGGTCTGTGACACATAACATGCTATAACAATTTATAAATGTATCTCAAAAGAACATACTAATTTTTTTTAAAGTTCTGGCTTTTATCCTCAGTGTAGAATTGGAATGATCAAAGAAACTATGTGGTTCTGAGGGTGTAAAGGCCAGCAAGCTCTTAAGAATTTTCAATCCTGCAACCAGGTCTAAATCTTTCCAAATGTGACTTCCTATTGAACCACAAACTATTCATGATCAGACCTCAAAGTCACAATTAAAATGTAGGAACATGGAGAACGGTCAGCTCAGTTCCTACATAATAAATAACATAATTCCTTAGCTTTTGGAAATCTGACAACCAACCCTAGCATGCCAGTGACCACAGATGAGATAATTCAAATAAAAGGACAATTATTTATTATATTGCTAATTCTGTCATACAATTTTCAAAGCAAATCTGCCTATATTTCACATATATCACTATCCTAATTAAAATTTCCTGTCCACATTTAGCTTATGTAGACATGAAAGCTGGATCAAAATGTAAAATATGAGCATTAAACAAATGAATTTATTTTAAAACTTTCTTAAAATATGCTACCCATATATAAAATGCAAATTCTGCAAAGTTCTATATATTTAACACTCTGATAAAAGCAAAATTGCTTAGCTACATTCATAAAAGCAATAGAAGAGTTTAAGTTATTCATTGCTAATTCTTTGTTATACATAAAAGCTTCCACAATAAAGCACAATGATTGTGCTCTAGGTTATGTGTAAGCTATACGGAGATTTACAGTTTTAAATTCCTCAAAATATTTGATAACTAATTCTCAAACATTTTATCAAGCATTTTAAATGTATTCATATTTTACAACTCTTAGGA